TGGGGTGGCCAGAGGTGTGGGTGGGATTTGTGAAGCTCATCTGCTGCACAACAGAGCCAATGGAGAGGAGGTAGCACTGATTTTTGTCCACTGATATTTAATGCTGGAGCTGGGGTATGGAAACAACAACGTGTCTGCAGTGAGTGGGAAGGATCACAGGGTGTTTCCTGACCTCACATCTGGCCAGGTGCAGAGGGGCAGGAGGCCCTGGAACAACTTTCACACCAAAGAGGATGAGAATCAGCACCTTCCCTGTGCAAAGAGCAGGGACAGGCTCAAAGAGCACCTTCCCTGTGCAGAGCACTCATCCCCTCTTTGCTGGTGCCAGAACCACAGTGCAGCCAGTCAAACCAGCCTCTGCAATGTGCTCTCCTCTCTTTTCAGCCTCTGCAGTGTGCTCTCCTCTCTTTTCAGCCTTCACAGCTTACTGAGTTTATTTTCAACTTCAAAACTGGCTTGAATAGAATTTGGAGGCAAAGGCATTGTCTCTCTGCACTTGATTGGTAGAGCAAATGTCAGCAAGGGAGCAGCAAGTGGAGGAGTGGACAGCACCAGGCCCATAAATTGGATGTGTGGCAATCCAGGAGGTTTCCAGTTAAGGCTGTGGCCTCTGGGCTGCAGGCAGTGCTGCAGCAGCAGCTGTCACACAGCAGTGTCTGCCACTCTCCAAGGACTGGGACAGCTCTGAGCTCTCACCTCAGCTGATTTCCATCCAGCAAAACAGCACCCAGATACTCACAGAGTTCCTACACTGTGTAGTGAGTTCCTGTGAGTTCCTACACCCTGTGTAGGAGCTGGGCAAGCTTTGAAAGAGAATCTGCTCTCCAGATTTTGTATAGAGTCTCCCAGTTTTTTGTATAGAGTGTCCCAGTTGCTCTTTGAGAGCCCTCAGATCCCTTGATGGACCAGTGGCAGGGACAAGCAAGGGGAGGTCAGAGCAGAGGGAGGCAGTGCTTGGGCTCTCCTCCAGTGCTGAGCTGTGAGTTGAGCCCATTTCTCTTCCCCTGCCCTTTGGGGGCTTTCTGTTTTGTCCTCCTCCATCACCCCCATACCTGCAGGTCCTGAAGGCTGCAATCTCTTCATCTACCATCTCCCCCAGGAGTTTGGAGACAACGAGCTGATGCAGATGTTCCTGCCCTTTGGCAATATCATCTCCTCAAAGGTGTTCATGGACCGTGCCACCAACCAGAGCAAGTGTTTTGGTAAGTGCAGGCAGGGGAAGCATGATCAGTGACAGTGACACACTGGGCATGGCACCAGCAGTGCCACTGTCACCCATCCTGTGTCCTTCCTTCAGGTTTTGTGAGCTTTGACAACCCATCCAGTGCACAGACTGCAATCCAGGCCATGAATGGCTTCCAGATTGGCATGAAACGCTTGAAGGTGCAGCTAAAACGGCCCAAGGATGCCAACCACCCCTACTGACAGCAGGGAGCCAGCAGGAGTCACTTCTGCAGCACAGGTACAGTGTCCCCAGCAGGGCACAGCTCTGCCAGGCTCCAGCTGCTCCCTGCAGGGTGGGAGCCCAGGAGTGGAGGCAGTGACAGCTGGTGGGGCACAGGGTGAGCAGAGCAGGCCTGGAGATGATGGCCAGGTTCAGCAATCATCAAAACAATCATCAGTCAGGGAAATCTGTGGCTGTGGGGCAAGCCCAAAGCCAGGCCAGAGAGATCAGGGTCAGGTCTGAGGAAGGTGAACAGGATCAGAGTTCAGTGATTGCCAGGCAGGTTCTGTAATGACAATAATAAATATTGAGGTGGGAAGCCAGTGCAGGGGTTGGAGCCCAGGTGATGAGATCCATGGACAGCACAGGTCCTTGGGCAGGTGGGACTGGCACTTCCACACTGTGTCAGACAGAGGGTGATGGCACAGGGCTGTGAGGAAACTCCTGGAGCTGAGGGCAGTGTGGACAGGCACTGGTGGGGCTGGTCAAGTTCATCAAGGCCTGTGAGTGCCCTGATGAACAGGCACTGTTGGTGCCCTGTTTGTGCTCTAAGCAAGGTTTTTCTGTGCTGTCCAACTGCTCCCAAAAAGCTTTTGACTGCCTAAAAAGGTATTAAACCCTAGTAGTTAGTCTGCAAACTGTGCTTTCTGGGGTGAGAAGAGAATCCCATGCTTCACAGGGATCACAGAAAAGCAGAGAGAAGGTGAGACCCTTGTTGGGCTGCTGTCCAAGAGCCAGCTCCTGCCAGCCTACAGATGGGGAGCAGGGGAGGGCTGATCTGATCTGGGTCAGAGTCCTCCATGTTTAAGCAGCAGCTCAAAGCCTGAGGTTTGCACAGGTGCCCTCCTAATCTCCCAATTCCCTCCCTCCTCCATTTCTGTTCAGGTGAAGGGAAAGTCCAGAGGAAGAATTTCTGCTTCAGGTTGATTTTCAGAGAGGCCAGTAAATTTATCGACTCTTTTGACACCACCCCTTTCCTTCCTCGGCTTCCCACCTTTCCCACCCCATCTTCCTCCTCCCCTCCTCTCCAAGACATGCAATTAAAGAGAAGGCTCAATATCTGCCCAGGAGGAAGATTCTTGCCACGCCTGGACTCGCATATTTGCTGCTAACGTGGTGCAAAGCAAAGGGACCAGCAAACCAGCAGCCCCTGGGACACCGAGCTCTTCCTTGGGGTGTGGCTGGAGAACATGGACCAAGCAAACCCATGGTGTGTCTCTAGGTTACTGCAGTGATGTGTGGAAATTTATTTCCCTCCCTCCCTCCCTCCTGCTCTGTTTCTGGCCCTTTCATAGATAACTATAAATATATACAGTCTCTATTTTTTTTTTAAACTAGCTCACAGGACCAAACTTTTCCATTCAGAGAGTGACTGCTTGCAAGAGGTGTTGGAAATTGAGGGGTTTGCCTTTGCAACGGTGTCTTCTCAGCATGCACTGCAGATAGGCCTGAACATTTTGGAGAGAGGGAGCTGGGGGTGGGTTGGGGAGAGAAAGAGAGAGAGAGAGAGAGAGAGAGGCAGAGAGAGAAAGGGAGAGCACATCTCTCGAGCAAGAAGAAGGAGAAATACATTCCTGCAGGATTAGGGCACAGTCAGCTGCTCAGCTTGAGTCACTCATCCACCTTAGCACCAGCCTGGTTCAGGATCTGGAGAGCTCTCCCTTACCTTTCCAAGGGCTCCTGCAGACCAAGCTCCTGGGATGTGGTGCCAGCCCCTGCCCTGAGCACGCTGTGATCAGGCTGAAAGCACAGCAAACCAGTCCCTAACAGAGAGGAGCTGCACTGCCTCCCCACACACGGCACAGATCGTGGTGCACAGCTCTCCATGGCAACTGCATCTTCCTGATGAAGGCAGGAGGAGATGAGAGAGTGAGCAGATGCAGAGGAGGCTCCCAGGGCTGCACACTGCCTCCCTGTGTCGGATACCAGCACTGGGCAGTGGGCAGTTTCCTTCCAGGTGACACAGGTGACATTTTCTCCCTCTGAATTCAGCAGCCTTCCCCAGCAGATGCAAGGAAAACAGGATGAAAGAAGGTTCCATTCTGGGATTTCCCCCCCAGCACCCCCTCCAAGAGACAGATTTTACATTATGCAGCATATACATATATATATACACACATATATATATGTAGGGACAGCTCTATACACTATATACACAACTCTATAAAGCACAGAATGTAGTTCAGAACTGGATTTTAAAAAGATCCCCTGGGAGTGGGGGGTGTGTGTCATCCTGCCAAGGCACAGCCCTTGAACAGTTTGGAACAGTCTCTTCAAGTTTCTACAAAAGGAAGGAAAGGAAAGCAAGGCAGAACAACCAACAAACCCCAGAGTGATAAGGAATGAACGATTTCAATAGTCAGAGTTTGATAAGGTACCACAAACATTGGTGTGTGTGTGAGGGTGTGTGAGCACATTGAAATAGGGACAAGAGAGTTGGTGGGGCAAAGTTGGTGCAATTGATACTGAAGTGAGCTATGGGGATTTTGGAGAATCTCGGCCAACTCTCATTCTCCTCCAGTTTGCCCTTTGTTCAGGTGTTTGTGGCACAGTCCTTTAAGTACCTTCAGATCTCCTCAACCACCCTTCTGTGTCTGATGCTGAGAGTTTATGAGAGGTGAATGAAGCTGTGAGAGTCTGTGTGTTTCTATAGTCCATGTTTACTTATTGTAAATACCATTTTTATACTTAACATCTATTATGTATGTGATTTGTATAATGTACTTTATTTCTGCTACAAGTAATTTCATGAAGTTTAAACTTAGTCTAATTTTGAACAAAACAAAAAAAAAAAGAAAAAATATGAACAAATGCAAAATGGGAAAAAAAAAGGACTTTGGGAATCCTAGGTCAAGCTGGTTTAAAACAAGCATTTACAGTTTCTTCCATCACAGTTACTGATGTGACTGTACAATGTTACAGGTGCGATACAAGCTTTGTCAATGTCAAATTCCTCACTCTGGTCAAAAAAAAATCCTAAATTTATTTAATAAAAGTTTTACTTGCTAAGTAACTGGGGCTCTACTTCATCTTCTTAGTTGTACCTGCTTTTAAGTAATGCTTACAGACATTGCCAGAGCCCTGGGCTAATTTAATAGTTCACATGGGCTCAGCAAACAGCCCTTGGCCCACAGAACCCAGGGGAGCAATATTTCATCACAGAGGAAGCATCAACACAACACCAAGACATTAGAAACTTGTTTAATTAAAATAGAGATAAAAATTCTACTTAGAGGAGGCAAGAGGGTTCGTGGTATCCAAAATAAGTAGTGAGGAGGAGATGCAGCCATGCCAGGACATCCTGTGCAGACACACAGGGGTTAAACTGGGGCTCAGCAGAGGCTGGATGCAGTCAGAGCACACAGGGGAGGCTGAAGGAGGAGGGAGATGGGAGGAAGGCTAAGGCAGAGTGGAAGAGATCTCTGACTGATGGGTAGCAGCAGCAGAACCATGGCTGAAGCAGGATGAGAGACCATGAGTCACGTTAGGAAAATGGGATTTTGCCAGCACTGCTGCCCTGCTCCTGATTGACAGCAGTGGTTCAGTAGGATGCTTAGTGGGATGGCAGGAATGGGATTACAGGGCTGTAGGATGAGACTGGGCACCCCTCAGGGGCTGCTGTAGTTGTAGAAGGTCCGCAGCACCTGGTTCCCGCTGCTGGGGAACAGAGCCCAGAGGCAGCAGAGCGGCCGCAGCCACCGCGGGTAGAAAATCTCGGGTGCCCGAGCGGCTCCGCCCCGGACGATGGCGAGCGCGGCCTCGGGAGCGGGGGAGGCGCTGAGCAGCACTTTGCCCCTGCAAGGCAACGGGCACAGGGTCACAAACCTGAGCCCACAGCTCCTGTTCCACAGTGAACTCCCCCTGTGTGTGCCCAGGCAGCTGCACTCTGCCCACACCCCCTCAGACAGAGCTGCTGGGCATTGTTTTGCACGTTTTCAAGAAGAGATGTGTTCCTGCAGACAAACACACACCTGGTGTACTCCAGTGCTGACTCAGTGTCAATCAGGCCCAGGATGCACAGGGTGACTGACACATCTCTGCTCTGCATGATGAGCTCGTGGCGCAGCGAGCTGAAGAATCCATCCAGGGCAAACTTGGTGGCAGAGTAAGAAGTGGTGAAGGGAGTGGGCATTTTCCCTGGAAAGGGAAAAGAGAGAATGGAAAACCCCAGAAAAGTGAGTGTAAGGAGGATCCATGGAGAAGGAATCTGGGAAAAGATGGAGGCTTTGCCATACTATATCTCAACTCCTGTTCAGGTGAGTCTCCCTTTCTGTAAGTATATTAAAATACATATTACTATAGTCATATATATTACTATATTATTAAATATTATATATATATATATTTAATAATATAGTAATATATATTATATTATGTATTATATATAGTAATATATATAATATATATTTTTTATATATACACACATATACACATATACATATGCATATATACATACATATACATATATATTGTAATATATATAATATATAATATATATAATATATTATATATAATATATATAATATATAATATAGTAAAATATATTATATATTATATAGTAATATATATAGTAAAATATATACTACTATAGTAATAATACATTACTATATTATTATCTATTTATTATAATATTATTATATACTATAAAAAGCACAGTTTGAAAATGTTTAGGAGTTGAACAACAGAGAAATATGGACAGTACAGGGAATCACTGTTTCCACAAGGCCAGCATTTACTCCAGGTAAAGTCACCAACCTGTGAGGGAAGAAACAACCACCAGAGCACCTCTGTTCTTCTCCAGGGTGGGAAGAGCTGCTGTTGCAAGAGCCACATAACTCAAAAAATTCACCTGGAATGATAAATGTAGACATGGAAAAAGCAAGAGGGTTTGGAAGCATGAGCCAAGAAAGTCAATAGAGTGGTCAGAAATGGAAAGGGGCGTGGTTTGGAATTGCCTTTTCAAACATCAAATGAGAGAAATCATCTCTAGTTGCATCCCTGAGTCCTTCAGATTCCAGAAAAAGCAGTGAAGAAGATCCAGAGCAAAGGTTACTCCTGGGCTTTAATATACACATTTCCTAACAAGATACAACCGGCTGTCCCTGCTTTTTCTTTATGCTTTTCTTTACTCTGCAATCCCTGTCAAAGACACCACTCTCAGTTTGCTCCCCTTCTAAGTTTTTCTTGACTGAGCTCAGACTATGAGGCACAAAATTCAGCATCTCTTCAGAGCTTGACTGCTCTCTTAAATTATATTAATGTCTTCCCTATGTTCCTAAGTTCCCACTCCCCTCAACCTGACCTGCCACACAGACCTCGGTGGGTCAGAGAAAGAATTTTATAGATAAAAATCAATAAACAACCTTGAGAACAAAACCAGAAGAGTTCTGACTCCTTCTGTGACTGCCAGGCTGGGAAAAGAGACATTCTAATGCATCTTGGGGTCACTCTGAGCAGCAGAAGTCCCAAAATCCCAGGAGAAGCCAGGGGAGTTGCAGGAGAGCTGGGAAGCTGCAGAGGACCCAGGAAGTTGAGGGGAGCTGGGAAGTTGAGGGAACCCAGGAAGTTCAGGGGACCCAGGGAGCTCAGAGGAGCTGGGAAGTTGAGGGAACCCAGGAAGCTGAGGGGACCCAGGAAGCTGAGGGGACCCAGGGAGCCTCACCTGCAGCAGCCAGCGCGTGTACTCCACATCCCCAGCCCACTCCTGGAAGCGGTTGGTGCCGATGTGGTTCAGCATCAGGTAATCCAGGCCCCCTTGGAGAGCAGAAAGAGCAGTGACACACAGGACCCATCCCTGAGCATCAACCAGGGAGCTCAGGAATGCCAGGAGGGCTCCAACACTCCCTCAGAAGGATGGAAGTGCTTTACCATGAAGACAGGTTAAATATGCTCATCTGGGGCAGCTTTGGCTGCTCCTCAGGGGTAGAACTGAAAGGAAAACTGTTTGACTTTGACAATAACTCCCTGAAATGATTCAGGAGCAGAACTTAGCTCTGGTGGTACATCTGTGTCCTTAACACCTTTCTCAGTTCAGGGAACTGAAGCAGGAAGCTCCTTCTAGAATGAGAATTGTGCACACACCTGAAATCCAGAGATGCTCAGGATGCTTACCGAGCTTTTGGACAGCAAACTGCACCACCCTTTCAGGCTCTGAAGGGGAAGACATATCTGCAGGGATGTAAAATATTTTCTTTGCTCCAAGTGTCAGGCATTTCTCCATCACCTTGAAAAAGAACACACCCCAAAGATTAAAATATTTGAAAAAAGAGTAGGGCAAAAGGGCACTATAAAGCACATACTACAGCCAGTGAGAGTCAGTTCTGGACAGAGACACACTTTATTTTAAAGTTTATTGTTGTTTGGGCCATGGAGAGCTCATTCTGCATCCAGACTGAATCTGCATCCTGCAAAGAGTTACCTCTATTTAACTCTCTGCTTAAATGATCTACCTGGGACAGGATCAAGATTCACTGGAAAAAAGCCCCAATCTTCTTCAGGGGAAATCTTCTGGAACAAGGATTATGCTTTACATTAAATTCTTCTCTTTTTTCCAAAATAACTGGAAAAGAATTCATCTTTCATAATTCCTTTGCTATGTTGAGTGTGTGAATGTGCCTGACAATGATATGCAGTTTTGAAATAATGCCTTCCAGTCATTAGGAACTATTATTATGCTCACTGTCCTCAGCTCACCTTTGGCACCATTTCACAGTGAAGAACTTTCCTTGGAAGTCACAAATCCCCACAATTAAAGAGTTCCCCTTTCTAAATGTTGCCCCATTTCATAAAGATGGAGAAATCTCATCTGTTGGAGTTGGTCAAAAGGCATTTAACCTACAAAAAGTCTTGAGTTTTTAACAAAACAGCTACAAATAGAACAATCTGGACTGAAAAGTTGCACAATATTTTTGGACATTTTCCTAATGTCCAGCCTGAATTTTCCCTGATGCAGTTTCACACCATCCCCTCATATAAATAAATGTTCAGGCAGTTAAAAAAAGCTCAGGCACTGAATTTGCATCTTCTTCTCTTCTGGGTTCATGCTTGACAGTTCTGAAGGAAAATCCATCATGCTGACAACTCATTTTTTTGTTGGTTTGGTAAAAGCCTGGATCTCTGATATGTTCCCCCATACAAGGAGGAGGTTCTTACCTTCTGCAGCACAGCTTCCCTCCTGGCAGTCAACACAATTTCAGCACCAAACCTGGCATAGTGATATGCTATCTGCTCTCCAATCCCAGCACTGGCTCCAGTCACGAGGACACGGGCACCAGACAGGCTCTCTTTTTATGGGAAAGAGAATAAAAGATACAGAATTAAGTGAAGAAGCAGCAGAGGAGCTGCCCTTAACTACTGGCAGAGCTTTAAAGAAGAAAGATGCACCTGAGTGCTCAAAATTCCTGGTGCTTCTCCACAACTAGAAGAGGCAGGACTGGTGATGCAATGACACGATGAATGCCAGCTAGCTGTGTCACAGGGCCTAGATTTTGGTTGCTAGACCGAAATCTTTAAAGAACCAAGTTCCTGAAGTTGTTTTTCACCTTCTGAGAAGCTGCACAGAAACCAGAAGGCTATGTGCCTTCTGCAAATAATTTACTCTTTGCCACCAGTCTGGAGGCACATCACCCCTCTTGTGCCAGGCACTGCACACCTCTAGAGATGGTTCTTGAATTTGTAACAAGGAATTTACAACCAAAACATAAAAAGAGCAAGGCAGTAGCAAAGTGCCATTTTCCCCCCCCGACAGAGACAGCAGGATCCCTGCTCTTAGATAATTTCATCTTTCTCTTTGTTTCAAGTTTCTCTTTGTTTCTGGGAATGAAACATTGCCTTGGGGTCACCAACTCTAGTAAGACTACGGGCAGGAATGAGACCATCAGTCCAAGTTTGGAAACTCAACCTCTTCCCTTGTGTGACTTACATTTCAGCTTGAAATCATCCCCCTGGCGAGCCTACCTGGGTTAAAGTCGTCTTCCCAGAAGAAAGCTATGAGCACAGCTACAACCCCTGTAGCACAAAGAACTTTTCCAATTGCCTTCATATCCCTCCAAGCTGTGAGGAACAACGTGAAGTCTTGAAGCTGAGCACTTCAGCCAAAATAACACCGTGTTCTCCTTCCTCTGATGCTTGGAGCCAGCCTGGGAGAGGCTTTTGTAGAACCGAGAGCCCACCTGAAGTGTCTTTCCCCTGAGAGCCACAGCCACCTTGGTTAAGAATAAAAAGGATTTTTCACCGGCAATTCCCACAGCCCTCTGCACTCAGAGCCTACAGGAGGAAAAAAAAACCCTCTCGTGTCTAATCTTAGAGAGCTGTTAATTCATTAAAGACTAACGACAGCTGGCAGCAGTGACCCCAAAGCAGCGGGATCTCGGGAGGGAGGCGGCGGCAGAGCCCACAGGACGGAGCCGTGTCTGGATGAGAAGAGCAGCGGGATGAGCTGCTCCGCCACCACGCTGCGACACAGCGCGACAGAACACAGAGCGGCGGGGACAGCGCCACAAAGGCGCAGGAGCCGCGTTCGGCCCCCTCACGCCCCTCAAGACTTGCCCAGCCCCTTCAGCCTTGCCTGGCCCCTCACTCAGCTCGTCTCGGCTCGGCTCAGCCCTGCCCAGCCTGGCCCCTTCACATCCTCGACCCTGCCCGACTCCTCACGCTCCTCACGCCCTCAAGTCCTACCCGGCTCCTTCACAGCTTCAGCCCTGGCCGGCTCCTTCAGCCCTGCCCGATCCCCTCACGCCCCTCAAGTCCTGCCCAGCCCCTTCAGCTCTGCCCGGCCCCCTCACACCCTCGGTTCGGTTCGGCTCGGCTCGGCCCTGCCCGGCCCCCTCATACCCCTCACTCCCTCAGCCCTGTCCGTCCCTGTCACGCCCCTCATGCCCTCACGCCCTGCCCGGCCCTGCCCTCTCATGCCCTCAGCCCCGCCGTCCCCTTCAAGCCCTGCCTGGCCCCCTCACGCCCCTCACACCCTGCCCGGCCCGGCCCTGCCCGGCTCCCTCAAGCCCTCAAGCCCTGCCCGGCCCTGCTCTGCTCTGTTCTGTTCTACCCTGCCCGTCCCTCTCGAGCCCCTCACGCCCCTCCTGTCCCTCACGCCCCTCACGCCGGCGCCGCGGGCGGGGCCTCGCGCGCACGTGACGGTTCCGGCCCCGCCGCCGCCATGGCCGCCCGGCTGCTGCCCGCTGCCAAGTGAGTCCCGCACGCCCTGCCCGCCCTCCCGGCCCGGCCCTCCCGCACCCTCCGCACGGCGCTTTCCCCTCGGTACTCCCTGCCCGCCCCTCAGTGCTCAGTGTCCGGGCTATCCCCGGCCCGTCCCCAGGCCCGCGGCCTCCCCGTCCCGCGGCTCTGCTCGCCTCGCTCCGCGCCCTTGGCCTCGCCTGCCCCCGCGGCTCCCCTTCTGCACCGGCCGGGAGGGCCCCGCCGCTCTCTGCGGGCACGGACACGTAACAAAGCCGGGAGTGGCTCGGAGCTCCCGTACACCCACAGCCAGGCAGGGGAGAAGGGTATCCTTGGGGGCCAGCCGGGCATTTCAGCAGAGAAATCGCTTTTTTCCAAAATGCATGTGAATACATGACTTAAAAAATTGGTTCTCTCTTCTCAGCTCTCTTGTATCTGTCCTATGTCCTATTACTGCAGTACCGCTGTCTTGGGTTGTCCCCTTGTACAGCTCTTGCTGTTTTCTTAAAGGGAAAATACCTCTCTGTGAGTCTGGGAAAATCGCTTACCTCAGATCTCTGATTTATAATAAAAATGTCAATAAATGCCAAATATTCTCTTCCCATCTTCCCTTTTGTAGGTTGCCATCACGGCTGTAAAACTGGTGACTGCACATCATGCAGGGAAACTTTAAAAGCCGTGGTCAGGAGTTCACTGGGCTGTAATGAGCTTAACAAGATATTGGTGTCTGTCAGATTTATCAGATAAATATCAGATTTATAAGGAAGAATTAACATGGATGGCTTGCTTACTGCAGAATCCTTGAGTTGCTTTTAGCAGAGGAATATACCAGTGATTCTCAGGCTTTAAAAAGTGTCACATGCTCTTGAGGAACACTTTCTCATTTTTATATTGAAAACCATCACTGATAAAATGTGAATAAGGTGTAGTTTGAAGGGGCTGACAGGAAATAGCTGTCCTGGAAAGGCAAGGAACATAGGAAGGTATTTTTCTGCTGATTTTTACTTACAGTAACACATGAGGCAGTCCCAACCACTGAGAGAGATGCACTGATGGTCAGAACAGGAACTGAACTGTTGTGCTTTCAATTCTTTCAGGTTTCTGGTCAAAGGAGGCCTGGCTGGAGCTGCTGTGTATGTGGCATATGACCAGGGGCTGCTGGGCAGTGGCATTGAAGGTGCTGAAGCCCTGAAAAAAGCTCAAGAAACGCTGCCTCCAGCTATCCAAGAGTGGACAGATTACCTGGGCTGGGAGGTGAGGGCTGCTCAGGTGATCCCTGCAACACAAACACCTCCTCTGAATCAGGAAGAGAAAATATGGGGCTGATATTCTGATTCCAGTGAGGCTGGCAGGAGTTTTACTGCTAAAACTGGGTTCCACATGGCAAATATTTTGAAGAGGATTGAAATGGAAGGCGAATAAAATGCTAAATTTGGGGCAGAGGTATTGCTCACAGATGTTATTTCAAAGGAGAGGGGTAAGCAGAGGGTCAAGGGAAGGACTGCAAACATGCTCTGGGAGGTAATTCACTGTGCAGTTTTCTTCTGAAGGATCCTAGTTGTTTTTAAGGAAAACAATGAAAATGTTATCCTCCCAATTTTTAACATTGCTAAAAGTTCAAGTTGAATTTAAATTGCTTGAAGAGACCCCTCCTCTGTGAGTTGTTCTTAGTTTTAAAAATCCTCAGAAAATAAGAAACCTTTGCTTAAAGTTTGAGAAAAATTTTCATATTACAAACTAACAGAGACAGCCATTGAGATGGTTTTTCAGGAGCACCTAAATAATATGTTGTACTTTTTGCACCTACTTTATATTGCAGAAAAAAGCAAAACCCGGACTTTAAACATCATGTCTGGTCCCTTTTGGGGCTTATGGCACCTTATTTTTGAGATCTGAGATCAAGAGGCTTTGCCAAGGTGATGTGAATTCCCAGTGAAACCACTCAAGTGCTGATATTTTGTTCTCTTTCTTTCCAGCTCCCAGCCACTCCAAAAATTGACTTTTCCCTCTCTGCTTCCTGGAATAAAGGTAAAATAACTGCTCACTAACTGAGTCTGAGCTCAGTTTTTCAGAAGGGATGAGCATTCCCATTGTTATTAGAATTTTAGACATTTTTGTTTGAAGGCCATACCTATAAATACCAAGTAATTAATACCTATACTGGGTTATAAATACCTATAAATAGTAATATATAGGTTTTATGGTGCAGGAAAGAATCTTCATGTAATTGTGGGGAAACACAATCCACAAATAACTGTGACATGTCCAGCATCACCCATGGAGTCTGTGGCAAGGCCAGAAATAAAACAGGAATTAAACAAAGAGCTGAGCTCAGTCCTGTAATTGTCTTAGCTCATGTACAGACCCTGAGGTTGGAATTTCTGTGTCACAAATGCTCAGGGCTTAAAGAGATCTGTTGGAAATGGGGAAATTTGGCTTGGATGATGATTTTGGGGTAATTTTTCTCTGCTTTGCTTGCAGGGGTGCACACAGTCATGGGTGCCTTGTCTGCAGCTCCCAGCAGGGCCTGTGAGTACACAGTGGAAGGCTGGAAATATGTGAAGGATCTCATGAAATGAACACGTTCTCCAGAGCTCAGGATTCTCTCCATCTCCACCTCTGGAGGGCAGCTCAGCCGTGTAAGGGCTACAATAAAAGACTTTGGTGGAACTTTCATTTGTATTTGGGTTGGTTTTAGCCTGCAGAGTGGAATTTTTAGCCTGCTTTGTGTCTTAGCACTGATCCAAGGCTTCAGGAATCACAGATAGTTGTGATGAAGTGCTGAGAACAGCTTCTGTTCTAAAGCTTGGAAATAAAATAATTGTTCTGAAGCTGAATGAATCTTGAAGATAAAAGCAATCTAATTCAAACCAAGCCAACCAGAGTTCAAAAAAATTTTAAAAATCCAAGGTAACAGTAAAAGATGCTGTAAAAGGTGGTCTGGGAGGATTATACATAACTGAGCAAAGTTTATCTGCATTAAACATTTTGTTAGCTTGCACCATGCCCCACTTGGCAGACTGTGCACATTTTCATTTTAATGTGCATGCAAACTTTCACAAGGTCACTTTTCAGTCACAGGTTTTGCTTTTTCCTGCAATATAAAGTAGGTGCAAAAGGTGGAACATGTTATTGAGGTGCTCCTGTCACTTTTCACAGGCAAATATAAGGAGGACACCACTTGTAAAATAAAGTTACAAATTGATTCTGTGTTTTTAACCCTCTTTGATAGGATTGTTGTAATTTAGAATGTGCCAAAACACAGCTGCAGAACAGGGAACAGCAGGATGAGTCCTTACTCAAATCAGGAAGCAAATATAGAACATGAGGATGAAGAAGGATTTGCAGTTTTGTTTCCTTTTTTAACAAATAGATAAATGATGAAGCTAACTGCCCAGAGATTTCAGAGGATTTGGCTGAGATGCAAATGTCTTTAAAAAGTGGTTATGTTAATTCCTGAAGGATGGGTCCATCAGCAGCTCTTAAACCTGATGGTGCAGATGCTTCAAGCTCAGTAAACTCTGGAGTTGTGTCCTGCAGGTGCCAGATGCTTCACAGCACCCCAAAACCCAGATAACCTCTATTAATGCCCCAGTTCTTCTCTAAATTTGCAATGTCCACTGCTCCTGAAGCAGCACAGCTTTGGTTCCAGGTCTGTTCCCCCTTCTCTAAAGAAATCCTGACATTTATCAGGAGAGTTTTCCTCTCTCTGGCTTTGCTACAAACCAAATGGAACCACTTGGAGCAAAGCATGTACAAACAGAATACTGCACCTCCTCTATGCTCAGAACTTGAGTTCTCCACACTTTTCAGGATCTTCTGTACCAATTCTTTGATGTTTGCTCTCCAAAGCTTTATCATTGTGCTTTTTCCATTGATGAATGAAAAAAAATCTTCATGCAACTCATAAAGAACCCCTTCTCTAAAGATGGAAAAACCCCAGTGACCCTACAAATGAAAGTTACAGCATTATTTTTCCTCTTAGCATCATGAAAGCCATTTTAGGGTAAGGCTAAGGTCATGTTGCTCCAGAGATGTCTGCACAAAGAGGAATTACAACGTGGATATGACAAAGCAACAGATCATTTGCACCAATCTTGATCATGTCAGTTCCTCAACACAAAATTATGCCAAAGCACAGCCAGTGGCTGCTTCTAAGAAAATGATGGACTGCTAGGTGAAATTATAAGACTGGTGGAGCTTTGGACTACCCTGATCTATCAGAAGCTAAATAAAAACACCTCTGGGCTGTCTCTGACAGAAGCTGTGCTGCTATCACAGAATTTAACTCCTTTTTCAGACATTATATTGCACATGACACCAGATGAAAAGAATTCTTCACCCCTTGCCCTACAAGCTCCTGTGGCAATTCTGCAGTGGCAGGGCATCAAACTTTGCAGCTGTGATCCA